AGAGAGAGAGAGAGAGAGAGAGAGAGAGAGAGAGAGAGAGAGAGAGAAGCGTGTGTGTGCATGCACAACAGCAGCAACTACCTAGTATGGAGGGGAAGGTATTGATATTGAAAACAGAAGAGACACTTAGACATATAGGCAAAGGATGCTCAATCATACCACAAGAGCACTTGTTCAACTACATTCATAGAGCTTTATTCATAATAGCCAGAACAAACAACCTAGACGTACCTCAACTGAAGACTGGATAAAGAAAATGTGGTACATTTACACAATGGAGTATTACTCAGCTATTAAAAATGGGGACAACAGAAAATTTGAAAGCAAATGGATAGAACTAGAAAAAATTCATCCTGAGTGAGGTAACCTAGACCCAAAAAGACAAACACGGTATCTACTCAGTAGCAAGGAAGGTTCAAGGATGATGTTTGATCTCCGTGGGAAGGGGAAATAGAACGAATCTTTGCATGGACTGGGGGCAGGGATTGGAATCTGAGTGATCAGGCAGGGGTGGGGAGAGAGTACTGAAAGAGAGCCCTAGAAAGGAGGTGCATTTCAGGGTCAGGTAGAAATCTGGTGTAAGGGAAACTCCCAGGTACCTACAAGGATGGCCCCCAGCTAAGACTCCTAGCAATAGAGGATGCACAGCCTGAACTGACCATCGCCTGTGACCAGGCAAGACTTCCAATGGAGGAATTGGGACACCAACCCAGCCACATAACCTTCGACGTAGTCTGTCCTGCCTATGGGATGCGCTGGTGTAAGGCTGGCACATAGATGTCAAGTGGCCAACCAATGACTGTTCCAGTCTGGGACCTATGCCACTAGAGGGAGCCCACCCCGGACACTGCCTGGAGTGCCAGGGCCCAGAGGCTGGATGGCCCAAAGACCGAGGAAAGAACCAAACAGAACAGGAGAAGAAAAATGTAATGATGCTTAGTGATATGCTGCTATACTTATAGATTGGTTCTTAATTGTCATCAGAGAGGCTTCAGCTAGCAACTGATAAACAGATGCAGATACCCAAAGGTAGACATCAGGCTGGGCTTGGGGAGTCCTGCTAAAGAGATGAAGGAAGGATTGTAGGAGCCAGAGGGGTCAAGGACATTACATGAATAGCCACAACATCAATCAACCTAGGCTCACAGGGGCTCACAGAGGCTCACAAAGGCTGAACAGACAACCATGGAGCCTGCATGGGACTGATGTAGGCCCTCTGCATATATATGACAGTTGTGTAGCTTAGTCTTCTTGTGGTACTCCTAAGAGTGGGAGCAGGGGTTGTCTCTCTTTCACTGACTTTTGGCACCCTATGCCTCATACTGAGTTGCTTTGCCCAGCCTTAATACTAGGGCAGGTGCTTAGTCTTACTGCAACTTGATGTATTATGTTTTATTAATATCCATGGAAGCCCAGCCCTCTTCTGAATATAATCTGAAGAAGATTAGATGTGGGGGAGGGCACAGAGGAGAGTTGGTTGGAGGGAACTGAGAGAGGAAGGAGCAGAAACTGTTCTCAGGATGTAAAATAAATAAATTTAAAAGAAAAGAAAATAGACTTCCATCTAACGCATAGAAAACAATTCTAGCATCAAACTCATCTTGCTAAGGAGGAGAGCTGTCCCCTTAAAGTGTTGAGAAGTGCTATCCCACCAAGCCAGTCCACCAAATTCCACTTTAGGTATTACAGTGTCCCTTCCATGTTGTTACTTTGTTCTCTGCATGTGAATAAAAGGAAGGCAGCTTTTTCATAGACCCCCATTGCCTGTAACTGTTCTGTAACTGAAGTTTGGAAACAAGAGCTAACCCTGGATTAATCACGTGAGAGATAAACATAAGATTCTTACAAATAAAATACAGCAGGTATTACTGCATCACCTGGGGTAGAGAGGAGGCTGGGAAAACAGCTCTCAGGTTGACGGAAGCAGGCACATTGCTGACGCTGCTCCAGGGAGTACGTGGAAGTCAAACTACTTGGAACTCTTTTTTGACCAGGGAAGCATACCTGTTCCCCAAAGGCTGCCCTAGCCTCAGCTCTGGGGCTAGTTTCCTACTTCATTGACAGAAGACCATCAAGGACAGGTTTGTCAATGAGTTGCAGAAGCCCTGGAATGATCTGACACATGTGGAACAGTCAGATCCTGGCTTTAATATGTCTTAAGGCTTTCTATCACTAGGGCTGTGCAATGCCTGCAACCTTGGGGCCTTCATTGAGAGAGAAGCTTACAGTGCACTCTACAGAATTAATATCGAAAGCAATGGATAAAGAAGGCGGTCACCATTGTAGCTGCAGCATTAGAAATGGTCCACTGTGCTTCCTGTAATCCAGGTCCTGTTCATCACTCATCCTTCAAAACATCTGCTATTTGTCTTCATATCTAGTATTATAATAATTCAACTCAAAATCAGCTATCATCAAAAGAATACAGGACTGGGGGCTAGGGAAATCACTCGGTGGTTAAAGGCATACACTGCTCTTACAAAGGGACCAAGTTTGATTCCCAGCACCCATATTGAGCAGCTTACAACTATCTGTAACTTCAGCTCTAAAGAATCCAACACTTCTGGCCCCACAAGCATCTGCATTCATAATATGAATGCCCACACGGAGACATGCATGCATATGCTAATTAAAATAAAAATAAATATTTTTTAATACAGGATTTTGAATAATGCCATTTAAAATAAGTTCAAAGGTGCATAAAAAGAATCCTAAATATTTGTGATGAATCTACCATCCATCTGAATCATGTGCATTCTCATAAGCAGCACTAAACCTAACATTCTATGATGAAGGACATATCCTAAATCTGCACTGTCAACAAGCAGACAAGTTGTCAGAGCACCTGGGGGTGGGGAGAGCTTGTTTGACTAAAGAGCCAAACTTCAGTTTTGTGTAAAGATAAATGCTATGTGTGGCACCCAGGTTATCGTGTCGGACAGGGTGGTGTGAAGTTTGAAGGACACAGAACTTTTCCTGTCCCACCTTTTCCACCATCAGGAAACATGAGGTTATAGTGACAATTTGGAAAACTGTCCTGAAAGACTGAAAATGACATGGCTAAGTCACAAGGTAACAAGAGTAGTGTGGACAATGTGATACGGACACAAAGAGCAAGTACATCAATGGAACTGAAATAAGAATGTGCAACATAGAAATGATTTGATGAATATTTACATGTTTAAACATTTGCATATTGAAATGTTTACATATTTGATTGTAAAATTTCTGCAAATAAATGTTGGGTTCCCAATTCACTATATGCATATAATAATTTTAGGGAAATAAACTCATGCTTTCAACTTTAAATGGTAGGAAACTATATACATAATGAAGTTTAAAAACTGGCCAGTGATAGAACTCAGTGTGGAAAGTGGTTGCCACCAAGCCTGACTATCTGAGCTTAACCCTAGGGACCAACAAGGCAACATGGTAGGTGACTCTTTTAAGTTGTCCTCCACACACATGTTGTGGTATGAATACACCCATACACACCTACATCTACACCAAGTGCACATATGCACACACACACACACACACACAGCATGTAACTTTTTTTAAAAAAAATTAAATGATAGACTCTAGGAGATATGGGAGTTCTCTACAAAATCTGTTCAACTCTTCTTCTGGACATTTGCAATTTTCCTAACAACCAGATGTTTTAGCAACCGTAGATGTGCCAGAGGAATCCTCTAAGGCATTTTAGTAGCTGTACCTTTCCTCAAACATCGACCCATCAATAGATAAATTTAGGAATGTATAGGCAGAGTAGTCGTCTACCCATACCTACCTCTTCACAGAGCAAATCACCTGGAATCTACGGGTGAGCTCCTGAACCAGTCTGTACCTGATCTCAGACAAGATGAAGACATTTCCCTGGAACACCTGAAATGATAAAGTATGGAATTGTGTGGCTTAATAACATGAATAGCATCTGTCAGCTCTAGAAAAAATGGGAAATTTTCATTTTACATTAATTTTGCAGAAATAAAATGGAGGTAAAAATATTTTATTTTCCTTTTTTTGTGTTTGACCTTAAACTCTTTTGCCTCTATCTCCACAACTAAACAGAAAAAATACAACATTGGGAATGGTTTTCATCTTTAGTATTAGTGCATTATATAATACTCACATGTCTAATATATTAATATATAGGTGTTTTCCCCAAATAGCGGTGAAGTGCCCTTGGAGCTCAGAAGAAGGTACCAGTGACCCTGGGACTGAAGTCACAAACTGACGCTGTGAGCCACTTTGGGAATGTTAGGAATCAATCCCTTGTACTCTGAAAGACTCTTAACCACTGAGCCATCTTTGAACCTCAACTTTGAACACTTAAAGGTATATTTTCTCTTTCCAAAATGGATCCCCATGTATATATTTCTATTTCCAGTGTCCTAAAATATACAACTGGACAAGACATGGGGTAAACAGAGAAGATGTAAGCTATATAATAGTGGACTTTTACAAACCCCCTAATCAGAAATGTTATCGTTACATGGATAAGTCCCAGACCTCCTTTAGGAAACAGTCACATGAGTTATAACTGTGACAAAAGTTTTTAATTAGAAAAAAAAATCCTGATGGTTCAGCGGGTAGAGCACTTGCCTAGCATGACAGAGCCCTGAATTCAATGCCCAGCATAATGAAGGGAGGAGGGAAAAGGAAAGGATTATGAGATTATGTATCCACAAAATAGGCACAGTAAAGAAAAATCATGTACCACTTACAAATTTATTGATCCCACAGGAAACAGCAGGATAAGAAAACTCATAGTTGAGGCTCAGGACCCTGGTTACGGAGCAGTTGTTCCCCAGGTATATGTCATCAACTCTCAATTCTGTGTCGTTACCAAAGGGCCTCCTTTCTATTCTCACGACCAGCCAGTCATCAGAGCACACTGAAATCACTGCTAAAACAACAACAGTAACAATAATAGCAATGTACACCTTATTTAATTTGGTGGGAAATGTATTTTTTCTGTAAAACTAAATAGAACAAACTGCCTTTATGAAGAATTTGACAGATGCCGGTAGAACACTACCAACAGCCTTAGAATTGAGATTTTAGAAAGGAATCAAACCTGTCCAATGATCCTTTGCATCTTAATATCATTATTATGATACAATCCTGATGGCCAGTCCAAGCAAAAATAATAGTTGCCCATTTCCTCTTCTTATCCAGTCCAAGAGTGTGACCTAAGGAACTTGATGATAGACACATTTCCTTTAGAAACTGAATCACTCATGAGCAGGCTAGCTATCATTCTTGGGGGAAAAAAAAAAATCACACCACGAGTTTGTTTTTCTCCCCACGTTATGTAGAGTTCAACATAATATAACAGTGCGGCAGTTTAGGTTAACTAAGTTAACACATATGTTCTTGCTACTGAGTACAAGATACAAGGACAGGTAATCTATTACTTTCCCAGATGAAAAATGTGCCCAAAACATTAAATAGTTCGCGGAGCCTATCGAGTCTGGAGACGACAGTCTATCCAGTGGAGGGTCATATCTCAGAGTGAAAACGTGGGAACTAAAATACAAGAAGTAAATTATTTTCTATCCACACAGGTAATATATTTTCTTTTAGTGACAGTAGTCACTCAAGGCCTTGCTAACCAGTGTCAGATCTGCGGATGGAGAACATCAGTATCCCCTGAGCATCCCTGCCCTGCAGAATCACCTCACACATGTTAGTTAAGACCCTGAGCTCTCCCACACGTTTATTTTTGTACACCGAATAAAATGGGTACCAAGAACTGAAAGATGACCAAGAGCTCTAACAGAAGCAGGTGAAAAGTTGTGAGGAACAGATGGGAGCAATCGCTGCACACAGACATTCATTTTTATAACACTAGTCTCTTCGAGAGGAAGGACCGCAACCTTTGTGTGTACCTGGCATGAAAGATCAGGGAAAAAGTTATATTTAGCAAAATAAAACAGATTGATAGTACCATTGAAACAGGGAGTTTTAAACCAATTTTATTCATGGGTTTTCTAGCACTAAATCTGACTCAAAATATTTAATTCCCAACCACGCCCTCAGCCACATGTCCCTCTTGTTTAAAAATATTAGACTCACATGACAAAAGGAAAAGTATCTTAGGGCAGGAAAACCTCAGAACGAGAAGCCACCCAAGTAAGTTTGAGAGTCTCCTGCCAGACTAGGTTAACAACAGCTCCACCCTTCCCAGAGGTACCAAGTAAGGTCATAAAAAAAGCAATAGAGGTGGATTAGGTTTGTAAGGACAGCTTGTTGCTCAGTGGTTACTCCTGTGAGCTCCGTGAAGAATAAATGACTGCCTGCAGATATCAGAAACAATACTGTGTGGGAAAGTGCCTGTGGTTGTTTCTAACAAGAGTTTTGAAAGGAAAGGGAGACTTCAAAGACAAGTGCTTCAAAGTACTTCAAAGCAGAAGCAAAGCCCTCTGGGAGAGTGGTTCTCAGTATGGAGAAAACCCCTTTGGGGATTTAATGACCTTTCCACAGGGGTTGCCTAAGACCTCCTGCATATCAGATATTTACATTATAATTCATAATTGTAGCAAAATTACAGTTATGATGTAGCAACAAAAATAACTTTTGGGAGGGTGGGGGGTGGTCACTATAACATGAGGAACTGTATTAAAGGGTTGCAGCATTAGGGGGCTTGTGAACCTTGGCTCTCTAGTGCCTGGCTGCTTGCTCAGCTGTAGATGCTTGCGGGGTTGGGGGTGGTGCTTCTTGGCTGTACAGGGTAGAATGGTTGGTAATATCCCTGAGCAGCCACAGATGTACCAGTTACAACCCAGCTGAGACAATCAAAACTACCAAGTTGCCCTGGATGGCAAAACCTCCGCATCTGAAAGCCAGGGTGCCAAGTAAAGGTGGGGGGTGGGGGCTTTGGTTCCACAGAGACGCAGGAGAAAGCCCACAGGCAAACACCTCCCAGCAGCAGGAGAAACAGCTAACAGGCTACCATGCTAAGGCTAATGCGAGCCAGAGATGTTCTCTCATCTCCTGAACAGTAATACCAAGACAGAATTGGGTGTTTGCAGGTCACTGGCTGTCTTGTCTTCTTTTATTATTACTTTTTTATTTATGGGGAGAGGGGCACCCATTCCACCTTCTACATGTGGAAGTCGGAGGACAGCCCACAAGAGTCAGTTCTCTCCTTCCTTCCTCCATGTGGGTTCACCATGAACCGAACTCAGGTTGACGTGCTTAGCGGCAAGCGCTTCCACCCACTGAGCCATCTTACCAGTGGAAACATCATTTATTTTAAGGTAAAATACATCCCAAGTAATTTCCACTCATAAACAAAATTGGACACATGGCCTTCAAGTAAGTAGGTGAAGTTCACCCAGTTAAGAGCCAGAGTTTGGGTTTATCTCTTTCTGAAACCTCAAGGTCTGAAAGAAGCAACTAGAACCCATCTGCAATTTCCATTCTGCAGAGCACCCTCCTGTCCCGGGTTCCTACATACAGGCACATCCCTCTGGCTGGTGAAGCCCTTTTTTTGGCTTTCTCGAATTGTATAAACCCAAGTTACAAAACAAACATGGGACTAGTTATTGAAAAGGAGAGAAAGAAGAGGCAGGAAGACTGTGGTGTTTCAGATAAGCACCTGGGCTAGTGAATGCCCGGCCACTACATACTACTACATTCACAACATTCTGTCTAAAATAATTTTAAAAAGTGAAAGGGTAGAAGCAGAAGGTTTACCAGAAAGCCAGCAACAGGAATAACCAGAGTCCTCACTTCCAGACCTTAGAGTACGGACTGCGGAGAGTTATCCTCTGGGCTCTACTGACCTCCACACACAAAAAGATGAACCTTTCTAAAGAGGCTGTGGATCATATAAACTGAGTCTGAAGAGCCATCAAATTGTTTACAATAAAATGAAAGGCCTTGAGCACAGGCTTGGCACGCTAACTTCAAGTTTAAACTAAGATTAATTGGAAACACCAACCCTCACTGTTGTAGGATCAGCGAGGGCAGAGTGAAAAGTTTCTCGGAAAAGTCTCTTTAAATCAACATCTTCCAAAGGTATTTATTTATACCTGGCTCAAGTCCAGAAGCATTCCACAACAGACAAAGGAGAATGAACCCGCCTGACAGGGCTGTGAGCTTCATTATGTCGAATTCCAAAGCCTCAGGAACGAACCAACAGGAAACAGATATCCTTGACGGTTTATAAACCATTGGCTACACTCAGCTGTGGGCAGTTACCCTCTGCTTAGATGGGGTGGAGGAGGCGGAGACTCTTCACATCTCAAAATATGGTTCAGCTCAGCGGCCTGGAGTGCTGCATCGCCTCACCTGGAAGCCTGTTAGAACGCAAACTGCCAGGCTCCACTCTCCCATCTACGGAGCCAATCATAAATCCCATTGCGGCAAGATTGCTGAGTAGCTCACATGTGCATCAAGTCTGGCAAACATTTGTCTTAGCACACACTTAGCCTAGCACACTAGACTTGGTTTTAAAAAATCATCCTAATATTGAAAACTGCAGTACAAATAAAAATGATAAATCTACCTGCACCTCTCCCTACATGGATGTCCTAAGTCATGCTCCACACACCTGTATGATTCTTGTTGCTTAAATCCTAAGGAACAAGAACCAACGGATGTCAAGGGGCTTACACAGGTGGCATGTTTCCAGTTGGCTTTTTCTCTCGTTCTCTCATTGTGATTTAGTTTTAAATTCCCAGAACTACTAATGAGGTTGAGCACCTTTTCACCATGTAGTTTCCTGGGGAAATTTTGAAATGGTTTTCCTGGTTTTCTAGTTAGTTGTGCATACTTTACAGAGCTATGTACCACGGCGTGTGTCTGTCTGTCTGTCTGTCTGTGGAGGTCAGAAGACAGCTTGTGGAAGTTGAGTCTCTTCCATCATGTGGGTCCCACAGACTGGCAACTGCCCACCTTCTAAGCCACATCCCTAGCCCAGATGGAATATCTTCTAGCACTTTCAAAGATGTTAGTAAACGCTATTCTGGATGTGGCTGGGAGGTTCTCTCTCTGAGATTAACATTTAAAAAAGTAAGACCACGTGCTCCCGCTCCTCCCCTCCCTGCCTGACTTCAACAGGTGACATTGTGCTTCTCCTTTGAGCGTGGTCTAGAACCTGAACTTGCAGTACCTCCTGGTTCTTAGATTATGGACTTGGGCTAGAACAACATTGCTGTCACTTCTCCTGATTGCCAGCCTACAAACATCAATAATAGGAATTTCTGAGACGCCACAATCACAAGAACCAACCCATAAACACTCACACACATGCACTATTTACGCATGCTCCACGCACCCACGCACCGAGACTAATACAACAGAGAGTCTTGGTAAACAGAAGAATGAGTTACACTGTGTTCTAATCAGTCTTTCCCGTTAGTATACTCTGTCTCTCTTTTAATAATCATTCCAGACCTGGGATCCATAAAATATGTTCTAGTGCTCACTCCGAAAGCTTTAGAGGTTGTTTGACATATTTAGATTTTTAATCTGCTTGAATTTGATTTTTGTGATTTAAAAATCATACCATGTGGCCCCAACCCCATAGACGCCCAGGTCGCCCTGCAGTGCTGGCTACCCCCTCCCGCCTGCCATCCCAGCTCCCATCCAGGTACGAATTCCTATATTTCTCCCTTCCCCTTCGGGCCATAAAATTTCCCCAGCTCAGCGGCCTTGCAAGCTGAGCCTGCATGGTAAGCGCATCCCGGAAAGAGGGAGTGCCTGTGCTTCAATAGCCTGCCTGAGGAAAGGTGGGCATTCTGTCAGTGAAGTCCCTGCCCAAGAAGGGAACCTGACCCGGTAACAGAAGTTCCAATAGAGAACATTTGAAGTAAGAGATTGGCAGACGCCAAGGCAAGACCTCATCCAACAATCTGAAAAACAACATGAAAACACCAGATCCCAAGGACCCTACAA